CACACACACACACACACACACACACACACACACACACACACACACACACACTTTTGCCATCCAAGCCAAAAAAGGTTAGCCATCACTGATCTAGAGCCTTTTCAGACAGATTTCATGCCAGGGTGTATTCTTGTGATATCTTTCGTCACACTTGTATATGACCTAAGGCAGGATAGGTGATATATCCATTGTTTTCCTTGATCTCTTAGCAGCTTTTGATACACTGGTATGGTATGCTTCTGAACAAGCTCTGTGGGGTTGGGGACTTGCTCCACCATTCAATGGTGGTCCCCTTCCTTTCTCAGAGTCTGATTCCAATCAATATTGGTTGGGGGGTAGAGGTTGATCTTTCAGCTCAACTTTTGTGGGGATATTCAATTACAGGTAGTCCTTTGCTAAGGATCACAACTAGGTCCAGAATCTTGATTGCTGAGTGAAGCGGTTGTCAAACAAGATAAAATGTGATCACTTTGCTCAACGGCTGTAACCTCAACTCTCCCTGGTGTAATTGTAAATGACCACACAGATTATTAAGCAAGGGGCTGGGGATTATCCATCAAGGAGAACGATTGTAAGAACAATGATGTTCTCTAGTTATTTTTCACTGAATTTGAGGTTTGTTCCTCCAGTGTGCTGAGGGATTTCCGGATATCCTTCTGCGTTGGAGGACCTCATCTCAAATCCAGTGAAAACACTAACACATGTCATCATTCTGGAAGGCTAAGAATGCTGGCTTCACTAGCCTTTTCTCCTCCACTCCAAAGGGGAAAATGTTAATAGATGCCAGCATTCTGAAAGGCTCAGAATGCTAGCCTTCACTAGTATATTTGCTAGAAGGATTTCCCCTTCCTTCAGAGAAGGGAAGAGAAATCCCTCAATGCATTTGGGGAGCAGACTTGTCAGCGTGACTAGTATTATGTGATAAACCCAGGAGCAAAAACGCAGCACAAAGAGGCTTAAGACAATTAACAGTGGTTTATCTACAAATATATACATGCAAACACATGCAGGAGATAAAATCCCTTACCATTCACTACAGACATAAGGAAAGAACTGAATACACGCTGAGAGAGAAAGAGAGACTCCTCTATAATGACCACCTATATATAGACTCCTCTTAAAACAGTAAATGACTTGTGTGGACCCCCACCATCAGAGTCTTAAAAGGGTTATACCATAGCTACAATGAATCAGCCTCATTGCATCAGCTTTACTGATTAAGCTTACAACCTTTCATCAGCCGGCAGCTATTAAATCCTCAATACCTTCACAAGACTTCAAACGCAACTTGTCCTCCACTTGCAGCCTTACCTACTTGTTTCCCCATTCACCGGATAAATTAGCAGAGAAGATTGCAAATGGTGATTGCATGGTAGTAGGGCACCAGTCGCAAATGTGAACAGATTGTCAAGTACCCAAAATGCAACCCTGGTCACTTCACAAGTTGACTTCAGAAACAAATTATATATGGAACTACCCTTGAAGAACACTGGGAAACTTCAAATGGTCCAGAATACAATAGTGCAGCAGTGCTGTGCCCATGTAACATCTCTGCTTCACAAACTGCACTGCTTAGCTGACCTGGTTACTAGTTTGCTCCCAAAAATGATTAAAAATGCTGAATCTACAATGGCCAAGGGCAAAAAAAGCAGTGCGAGTAGCAGCAATTTCTGATTTCTACCAGCTTGACCATAGCTGACAGACCCTATAGAAGCTGATAGTGGGCCGATCTACTGGGCTTCTGGAGGGCTAGGGTAGGGTCAGTCTAATGATCTCCACTAGCCAAAGGAGGTGCCAATCAATCTGGCCTCCAAAAGGCTAGGCCAGGACTATCTATTGAACCAATACATAGCA